TGATTAAAACACCGCATAATTTATTATTTATTCGATAAAAATGATTATAATAATATGCCATCATCACTCGTTATCGATTGTTATTTCAGTCATTCAATGTGCGGATATGTTTATTGTGATATATTTGTAAAATGGAAAACCGTCATTAACGAGATAGAAAACAACAATTTCATTATGTTGTTATGACATAACACACTGCAATAATTTTAGTTTTCATGCAAAACAATTTTGGTTTTCGACAAATTAACAGTAATCCCCACCTAAACTTGCTTTGTGTGCGCATTTCTTTAATGGTTGTCGATGAACACGGGTGAATATTTGTTCCTTAATTGAGTTATATATATAAAAAATGACTAATGACACGAGTATTTTGCTTGTTGCTTTTGCACGCGTTTGCATGTGCCACCATATTTCCTTCTTCGAATAGGTGTTTAAAATAAAAATTAAATAAACGTATGGTCGTTATTGAATAAAATAATGCAAACAGTTCGCAAATCTGACATTGACAGAATATCAGAAAAACTCGACCGAAAAGAGTTAAAGTTTTATAACTTTACTTATATACAAAGTGGCATGTAACACACACAAAAATATATTGTAAAGTGATATAACAAAATAATATTTTGAAAACTCATTGCTGTATTCCGTAATTTGTAGTTTTGTGTACGTAAGTCATTTCTGCTGTTTAAAAAGCTCCATTTCATTCAAGCGTAGTAATCAATGCTCTTACCCATATTGTTTATTGTTTGCATGTTTACCAATACTCAAATGGCATTATGGACGATTACAATGTGAATTGCAAATACAAACAGAAGCAAACTTAACTTCAAATCATGTTGCATACACAATACACACATATTCCTACAGAAAAAGTTTGTTTCAAGTGAACATTGTCTAATAATTTAATGTTTTAATGATTCTTGAAGCATAGCATTTCTTTTGAAAACGAACTTGTCAAGTGCATGCAACTGAGACGCGCACATCCAACAATTAAACAAATTATTGTTTGTTCGCTGAGAATTGAATACCAATGAAAGAATATATATGGCTCTGGTATTCTACATTTTCTATCCTTGGAATGACCAAAATATACTTTTCAAATTAAACTCTCTCGTTTGCTTTATCACCATATTTCAACGTCGTTCGTCATTTTACGAATTGCCTTGTTCGAATTGGAGATTCATTTCTTTTGATTGACAACGAACGAATTCTTACCATAAATTGCCATTCCACCTTGACAAAATACACTATAAAGAAGATAATGTCTCAACAATGGTTTTGGTTGAATGTTAATGGTTACATTGTGTGCATTCACAAAAAAAATCAATTAAATTTAATATGGAGCAAAATAAAACTTTTGAGACAACATGTAACTTTTCCATTTTGGACATGCATTTGTATATATAATTGAACGTAGTTTGAAGTTGCGTGCATAAATACGAATACGATATATGAGATACTAATTGTTTTATTGCATCTTCGGTGCGTGGGAATAAATGTAGAGCTGCGACATCTGTTTATATTTTCTATTCATTTTGTGTATTTATATTTATAATTGAATGTATCCCCGGTCGAAATTTGTTGTTTCTATCTTTCTCTCCGTCGCTCTACCAATCCGCCTGTCTTCCTGTCTCTGGAGAAATTCAGTACAACAATATAAACAACAAACATTTGCTGGAATGTAAATTTTAAATGATAACGCTCTATTAGTAAGATGAGTGTCATCAAACTTTCATGCAATTAACTTTGAATGCTGTGCGGCATGCAATTGTAAAATGTTATTTTATGCAACATATCCAAAGCTTCTTTCTCGGTTTCTCTTCAATTTTTCCTGTCTTAAGCTCTTGTTTCCCTTTCGACAATCTCTCTCTCTCTCTCTATCTATCTTGTGCTCGCGGACATAATATTTGAACTAAAAGTTCCATTTCAATATAAATGATTCCATAAAATGCCTGTTTCATTCAACAAATTGACTAAAAGAAAAACTTGGAATGCATTGCACTTTAACAATGGCTAATAAAGTTATTTATATGCCAGACCAAATGAAAATGCGTAGGATTTCAATAACGCCTCTTCATCACAAACACACTTAAGTCCCGGACATTTGTAAACCACTGGATTCAAGACAAAATTGCGAATAATTTTAGCAATCTTATTATAAAACGAGACTTTTCTCATTTCCCCTTTCCTTCGTATTTCCTACGAGAACAACAAATGCGAACAAATGAAATAAAAGCGGAGGCGTTATGTGCCGCATCGGAATTGATGAGAGATAGTTTGAGAAATAATTTTAATGACATTTTTTATAAGCTTTACTCAAGATAACTTTCTATTTTGTTTTAATAAATTATTAAACGGTTTTCAAATTTGATTAGACATTATTTTTTCTCGATTCCAAAGTTACAGACCAACAAAGATGCAAAATCCTTTAAATACTCTCATTCAAGTTGTGTGTGGTCACTTTTTGTATCGGATTATCTATAATTTTCTTTAAATCTGCGAAAACCTTATAAACAAGCTTGGGAATGGTTTTTTTTTGCCATTGTGGTTTTGGCGTGACTAAAATGTAATGACAAAATTAATGGCGAGAAAAAACCAAACAATTTTCATATAAAGTATTTTTGTTTGGATGCGTTTTACGTCTGAATAAATTGACATTGAAATTCGTATGCTTTTTTACCATTTTCTATCCAAACAGCGAACTCTAGACGCTTCGAAATATAGGGGCGGTGAGTGAAAAAAAACACAATCAACAATATATCTTTTTTGCTAGCCGAATAAATGATTCAAAGAACACCATGTTCAAGGTTTTAATATTTCGTTCGTTGTATTCTTTTCAATAATAATAAAAATTAGGCATAGAAAAAAAAACAGCTGTATCGCCCTTGGCCAAACACTTGCCAAATCGAATTTCCTGTTGGCAAATACAAATCAGATGAAATATTCATTGTGGCGCGCAATCGGTCATCATTCAGTGAAAGATGAAACGTCAATCAAAAGTCAAAATTGTGTTTTTTTCCATTTGATGCATGAAATTATCGTTCAAATACATATAGACATAAAACTCATCAATATTGATAAAATCATTAAAAGTCGATTCTGTATGTTGGTGTGTGGCGTGTTGAAAGCTTTATCTAGGCAATTTACATACTAAATACACTATATCCATGGGCTCCTAAAAATGGACAGTATTTTTGTTTCTTTTCTCGTCGAAATTCGTTTGGAAGTGAATTCTGTCTTATTTCTTTTCTTTTTTCGGTTTTGATTCAAATGCTAAAAATATATACACATTGGTAAAATATGTATAATTTGGAACTAAAATGCTTTGTGTATATCAGCAAATGTACTTTGTACAACGATATTAATTGAAAAGTTTGGCTTTACACCGAATTTCCATTAGAGAGGTTTGTGTTGAAGCCAAACAATTTATCCACACACACACACACACACACACTCATACTGCGGCCATCAGGGGATTATTCTTTCACTACAAATTATTTTGCGCTTGATTCCATTTTTTGGCACTGCCAACAATGACGCGGCAATAACAACAGCCGACGCAGTACCACCAACATATTTGCAAATGATGAAAATGATAACAATCGTAATACGAAGTTTGCGTTTTATAACTACAGCGCTGTTCTCAACATCATCATATTCTAGTGGCAAAAATGAATTATTTATACACCTTATTAAAGTCGTTGTTGTATACTTCGTTTCTGTTTTTTTT